GCTAAAGTATTGTTATTTAGTACCACTACTACACTTCTTTCCTTCCTTCATTCTCAATACAATTTTGCAGTAGTTATTTAGAGGTGAATGTATTCCAAACAACTGAAATATATCTTACAACACATGTACAAATTCTACTACTACGACTATAGTACTACTCTACTTTTGCTAATGATATAAGTATTACATTTTCTACTTAATACTTTTTGCCACTACTATTCCACTACAATGTTACTAATGAATGTATATATACTACAAATAAAAACTAATTACTGTAAAACTACAATGAAGTTTTGACTACTACTACTACATTCTAAAATGTCTGTGCTATCTACTACTACTACTACTACTTCTACTACTACTACTACTACTGCTATACAACAACAACAACAACTACTACTACTACCACTACTACTGCTGCTGCTGCTGCTGCTGCTGCTGCTACTGCTACTACTACTACTAATACTAATAATACTAATAATAATCTTCTTTCCTTCCTTTATTCACAATACAATTCTGCTAAATTTACTTTATTTTGTCCTGAAAAGATGTGTTTCCTAATAGGTATATAGAAAGTATCAATCTATAAAAAATACTACAAAATATACTGAATATATTGTGACTCACCATAAAAAATGACGGTACACTTGACCACCTTTGCAAGTCTAGAAGCATCATACATGTCCCATAGTCCAAAAATATGAATCCAAATTAGACTTTCTCCGTACAATGCTATAAAAACCTCTATCAAGTTCAAACACACAACCTCCCTCTCTCCTTGGCGTAGCTCACTAAACCAGCGTCGCTAAGTCAATATTAATATATGCGTTAACAGCCAGTCTGACCCCTTACGCAGTTCAATCACAGGGCGCGCGATGATGATGTAATGTCAGTTAAACAGGTTTTGAAATTCACCTGCTCCCGAGACACATTGTTCTCAGTCTGTCATCGAGGTTGGTCATAATTCAAACGTTTGTACTGGGATATTTTCCAAAACGGAGCTTTTTAGTGTGTTTTTTTACAGGTTGGACTGGTAGAGCGTGGAGTAAATAGTGAAAGGAAACTGAGCGGCATTCCACACATGAGTTAATTAAAAAATAAAATGCAAACAGAGGCTATAATTAACTAAAATTAAAGCTCAGCCAGGTCATATTCAAATGAATCTTCAATTATTTTTAGAAACTAGTTTTTCTATTTGAAAGTATATTTCTTATGAACAATATAAAATTTCAGTTAATGCATTTAAGGTGTAGTTGGCATAATTCTACTACTAGGTGTACTACTATAAATATTACTAGTAGTGCTGTTAGTACTAGGACTACATCTATTCAGTACTCCCAACAACAACTACTACTGTAATTACTACTGTAACTACTACTACTACTACTACTACTACTCCTGAAGATTTGCATAGGGATGGTGGGGACATGTCACAACCAATATTTGCAATTTTATTTTAATAAACAAATATTCTGATATTTTTCCAAACACAATAGTATTAATTTAACACATTTTAGTTCACATTTTGTTTCTTAGATGTTCTGAGATGTATTCAGTGAAATGAACACAGGGTTAACCCTGCCACTATTTCATTGGCTGCAACAGAGTGATGTCATTAGTGGACCCAGGAGCCTAAACTGGGGAAGCGACAGGACAGGGCCGCACCTGAAGATGGAGGCTTGAGCAGGCGTGAGTGAAGGCGCTGCACACCAAACTTTGAAAAACTTTTCAAAAGGAACTTACTTGGCTTCATCTTCAAATAAACTTGCCTTATAATGAGTCGCTGCGGAAAAAGAGGGACTATCACCACAAGTGCACCTCTTTAATGGAGCCCTACTCGAGCACTGTTAGCAGCCAGACTCTATTGACAATATTCTATGGAAAAATGTATGGACAGTTCCTCACAAATATCTCATCACCAACAAGAAGAATCATCTTAGAAGGACATAAATGATATATTTTGCAAACTGAAAAATGAAACCACTTCTCACTTATTTTGGACCTGCCCGGACTCTGTGTTTTTGGGAAGACTTCATAAAACATATACACAACTTCTTATCCCATTTTAACCTTTCTTATAAAGATGTGCTGTTTGGTTTTTGCAGTGTGCGTCATACAAAAATATTATATAATTTATCTGTTTATCAAGTAACCTATCAGTTAGTTTCATGCTGAGACCAAACCTACGCCCTTGCTACTACCACCATCACCACCACCATTACTACTATTACATTCCAGCTCAAATTATCCATGGCACATTTTGTTACACGGACACGTACACACACAGCAAAAAGAATCCTTCAATGAACTGATGAAGGCCGATAACTTTGCAAAGTCTAGCCAAAACAAACCACAGACTCCCGATCTCACATCATGATACACACACCATACAAAATCACACAATTCAGTTTTTGCACTTAACCTTTGTAGGGTTTTGAAAAGTATTGAAAATCAGATACTAATCTATTTTAAAAACTAATCTGAGCAAATATCAGTACAGCAATAAATCATCAAAACTAGTAACATAAAGAAAGTACTTTTATTTTAAACATTAAAAGTACATTCTGTTACTAAAAAAGAAGCATGTAGGACTGTATGAAATTATAACTTGTAACTATGTATTTTGTTTTCGTATATATCTGGGGCCCATTTTATAAACTAAGGTAGCTTCTGGGGGAGGTCCTTTTTACAAGACTTCCACAGAATTGCACGAACTACTCTAAATGTCTGTATAGGTTTTGTAAAATGAAATAAATAAATATGGCTTTAACCTGTGGTATCATAATGGGTATTGAGAACTGAGTCAATTCCTTAGTATCGAAATCAAGTATGGAATTGTAATATCGTGACCACTGTAAACCGATGTAGACTAGTATTCTCTCCTCCCCCATTATAAATACATGCATTTCTGCCCTGATTGTGGCCTTTCTAAATTGTGTCAGTGATTTAAATACAACAAAAGGGGGATGGTAGAAACATACAAATGCAGAAATGAGTAAATAGATTATAACATATAATCTAGCATAACTGCCCTGTATTCTCGGGGCATTTTGAAGGGGGTGGGGTAAACTTGCAGCCTGCCTTCTGCGATCTGCCCCCTCCTCGCACCTCGCTAAAATTGGCACTTGCAACTCATGTGTTTTCTTAAGCCAGTAATTAGCAGCCCTCTAAGCAAAAGATACCCTAACAGATTTTTTTCCCCAAGCAAAAACAACTGCAAGATCATATGCTATCAGTGGAGTTAGCATAGTCTTTAAAGGTCCTACATTATATTCCACAAAATTTAAGCCATGTTGTTACCTCCTCAAAAACATAACAGGAGTTGTGTTTTGTTTCATTCACACATGCTTGAGTAACCCTTTATTATTAATCTGTCTGCATCTCAAGCTAAAAAAAACTCTGTTCCACCTTGTGACGTCATGAAGCATTAGTTTTCAAAAGCTGCCTTTTACCTTTATTCCAGTTTCACATAGGCAATTCCAGGGCTGAAATGATCCAAATGATTCTAGTGAAGGCGTATGGAGTTTAAAAACACAATGAAGCACTTTCTGTATTGACATCACAAGGTGGAACAGACTGTTTTCTGTTCAAGAGAAGAACTGAATATGCAGAGTTCGTGTGTTAAACATTTGTGAATGAAACAAAACACAACTCCAGGTCTGTCTGTGATAAGGAAACAACATTATAACATAAATCAGAAAATAGCGCAATGTGGGCTCTTTACATTAATGGTATAAAATGACATGACACTAAGAGACAGCCTAAAGAAAAGTCTGTATTTGTACTTCAAGTATCTGTCAGCAGTTAAATACTTTCCCACTTTAAACAATGGGCGGACAATACGAGGATTACCTTGTTGTCATGTGAGATTGACAACAGTTTTTAAGGAGGATGTTGTGTCACGTAATGGTGCAAAGCTGAGAAGATTAAGAGGAAAGTTGCACCATAAAATACATAGATAAAATGACGCAGTCACTGATTGCATTAGAAGTAATTACGTGGACATTTAGCTACAGGACTCCAGTGTTGTATGGATGGACTACACTACATTATGTTGAATATAGGCAAAAAAAATTGAACTGAAAAAGCTAAATTTAATTAAATAAAGGAAATAGACACCTGGTTTTAGAGTAAATACTAGCATTCTAACAAAATTAAGATTTCTAAATAAAGGGCTAAGGTATAACGGTATTTTTATGGCTACTACTGCTACTACTGCTACTACTACAGTCCAGCCATTCTGGTGGTACATTTTGTTACAAGTGCACAAAGCTGAAAATCCTTCAATGAACTGATGAAGCTTTGAAAAGTCTAACCAAAACAAACCCATTTCTGCTATACTACTACTACTACTACTACTACTACTACTACTACTGCTACTACTACTACTACTACTACTACTACTGCTACTACTATTACTGCTACTACTACTACTATTACTGCTGCTACTACTACTACTACTACTACTACTACTACAACAAATACTACTAATTGACACTATTTTCACTAATTTATCTTGTAGCTGGCATAGTAGTCATTAAAATGTTAGGAATCTGAATAGGCCTGAATAGGTCACAAAATTACTATATCAGTTTATCCCTCTATATATGAAAGCTGAAACAACATTTTTTGGGGTCAATATTTATCATGTATACATTTTCTTTGCTCTACTGGGATTTAATTTTTTATTTTTTCAGCTATATGACAAAATTTAAGCTGTAAAAGGTTGAATTAATTACTTCTGACTCATTACAGATGCAAACTACAGTAGTGAAAGAGTGTCATTCAGCTCATGATTTTTTAACAATATTGTAGATTTAGAATAGTTTCTGTTTAAACTGCCTTCGGGTTTTTGTGTCAGTGGCATTAATTTGTTTCAGTATTATCCTTTATCTTCTATATTTACAGCAATATATTGAACTTCAAAATTTGTAACAGGCCTAAACCTGAGAACCATGAATAGGCTTCCCACACATTGTACCCACGTAGCCCATTCTTACCCAGGGCTGGTATGCACTGTGCCCGCTCGGCATGCTCGTCTCTGTGGTACCAGTGGCTCCGCGCAGCACTGCCACCCAGATACAGCGTGGTTCAGGGGCACTACAGTCTACCCCCACCGCGTTCTGAAACCTCCAGTCGGACCGGACGGCGGGCTGAGGGCACGGTAGCATAGCAACGGGCATCAGGGCGCGTGGGTCTGCCTAGCTCCGCATGGCCACTCACTCAACGCCAACCGGCTAACTTTCTCACTCATTCAGCTCTTCATCGGTCCAAAAAAATAAAGTTGAATCCGTTAAAGTCCACATCATTTAGATTTTCTTCAAGTTGGAAAAACAAAAAAATAATAAATAAAATTAGCGGGAATACAAGCGCCTTCAAAGGGGGTTGGTAAAGTCCAGATGCATGACCAGATGGAGCAGAGGTAGCTCTAGTTTCACCCCAGACGCTCACAGACGCACTGTAAAACAAATGACATCTCCTCTTGGGTTGGTGTCCGGTGATGTTCTGCATACAAAGCCCCTAAAGACCACCCCCAAACACGAGGAGAAGGGGCTGGCTCTGCTCTCCTCTGCTCCTCTCTGCTCCTCTCTGTCCCTCCTCCCTCGAGTCCAGCCTCTCTACCTAAATCTGGACATCTCTCTCACAAAATTGTAGCTCTGTTCCATTCTCGCTGGACAAATTATGAAGCAATTTGAAAGGCAATTTGGATATTGAAAGAAGACAGAAGATCCCAGACAATACAAAAGTTGGATATGTCACAGTTAAGGGATATTCTTACAGTTCAAATCAGGCCTCTGCAAGTACTGTGTCCAGTTTCTATATATTGCTATGGTGAAAATATAGCATCCAGATGGTTGACTCCTCTAATTCAATCAATGTTACTTTCCATTTCACCACAAAAATGTTAAAAACTGTATTTTCTTCTCACAAATTCAGTCCATATCTGAAAATGATCTTGAAGTCTTTAGTCTCTGTCTCGTAGCTACTAGAAGTTCAAATATATTAAAAAAATAAATAAAAGGGTTTCTTCCAATGCACTAACACTAGAGAATTCTGTTAGTATCCTCTGTCCATATCTCAAAGTCAAATGTTTCAAATGTTTTCCCCTTCTTCTCTCCATGAGAAAAAAAAAAATCAATTTGAAAATCTTAAAATTTTTGAAAATCTAAATGTCCATTGCACCACAATTTCTTCTTGTGAGTCAAGTCAAAATGGTACAAAATTCTTTCTTTTTTTTCTTCTTTCCTTTCTTTCGTTCTTTCTTTCGTTCTTTCTTTCTTTCTCCAAAAAGCGGCAGCGGTTGTCAAAAAGTGGCCAGATCCAAACCTAAATTTGAAAACAGTCTAATTTCCATTGCACCACCAGCATGTTGAGTTCATCTCTCAAAATGGTACAAAAGCTCAAAGTTCTGTCTTTTCTTTCTTCTGTCTCGCTCTCTTCGAAAAAGTGACAAGATCATAACCTAAAATTGAACATTTAATTCACAAAAATCAGCATGTTTCCATTGCACCATAAGTCCTACTTCTGAGTTCATATCTTAAAATGAAACAGAAGTCCACTCTCTGTCTTCTTTCTTTTCTCCTCTCTCTGTCTCCCTCTCTCATAGGTTGCAGTTGTTAAAAAGATGACAAGATCTTAACCTAAAACTGAATATCTAATTCATAAAAAATCAGCTTGTCCATTGCACCACAACTTGTATTTCTGAGTCCATATCTCAAAAAGGAACAGAAGTCCACTCTCTCCTTTCTTTCCCTCTTCTGTCTCTCCCTCTCTCATGGGCAGCAGTAGTTGTTAAAAAGATGAAAGATCTTAATCTAAAATTGAAAATCTAATTCATAAAAATCTACTTTTCCATCACACCACAAACTCTCTTCTTCTGGGTCCATATCTCACAAGGCAACAGAAGTCCACACTCTGTCTTCTTTCTCTTCTCTCCCTCTCCCCCTCCCTCTCTCATAGGCGGTTGTAGTTGTTAAAAAGGCTAAATCCGTCCTTGCTGGCTGCAGTGTAAAGAGCAGGTCCTCTGGCTCCACGTGTGCCTCTGTGTTTGAGCCACACAAACACACAGCGACAAAGCTGTAATCCACCCGCTAAACTCCACAAAGCCTGGCCCCGCCCACACCCGCCCCCCCGCACCCGCCCCACTCCACACTAAACTCTCCGAAAAGAGACAAAAAAGAGACAGCACCATTTCAAATACAAAGGAAACAAAATATGACTTACTGATGTATTGATAGTGACTTCACACTTTTATTTCAAGTACTTTTATTATTTGGTAAAACATTGTAGAAATCTGTCAACTTTAAACACCACAACTACTTACTACATCTGCCACTACCAACTACTACCATCACAAATAACTTCTACTGCTACTACTACTACACTGTGTACTACTACTTGTCTCCCCTCCAACTCAGAAAAGAGATACAGGACCATTTCAGACACAAATGAAACTAAATATGACTTACTGATGTACTGATAATGTACTTTTATTTTTAATATTACTGAAGAAGTTACTGGTAAGTTAGTATTTGGTAAAATATTGTCAGAAATGCTGAAATTCGTCAGCTTTAACTACTATAACTTCATACTACAACTGCTACTACTACAATAATGACAACCATCACAAATAACTACTACATCTACGACTACTATTACCACTTGTTTCTACTTCTAGTCCAACAGAAGAATGCAAAACTGTCCAAATGACCAACACATGTCAAATTATCTGTTATAAATGTACTCTAAAACTATTACTTAAAGTTTAGCTCTTTATGTAACATTCAGGAAAACACCTAACCAAATTCACAATGCTCTCTCTGTATGAATTTTCAGCTACGAACAATAGTGAAAGTAGACATGACAAGAATCTCTCAGTTCCAAAACAAGGCCACTTGGAGTCACCATGACCTGGTTACTGGCCTTATACTCCCATCATGCTTCAGTTCACAGGACCCACCCAAGCACCCTCCACAATGACACCTAGACACCAGTGCACTAAATCAGCCCCAACTCTTCTCACCAAACTACCAGGCCTACTAGCTCATGTGAGAAAAGCATTTAATAGATAGTGTTGACATAATTTCAGATGGAAGATGAGGGTCTATTTAACTCATAAAGGTGCATTGTGTAACTTTTCTGGTGAAGGGTGCGTCAAATGCTTTTCTCCTTGGTGATGTTATTGCTTTGTCTGTAATGTTTTACAGTATAGTATTAAACCTTTCTATCTTCACGGAGATCAAACCAGACCAAGTTACAGGTCAGATCTGTCCAAATGCCTATTTTGTAGGTATTTTTGAGCTATAAAACCTCTAATTGAATAAATGTAAGGTAGAGCTGTTTAATGTCATACTGTGTAACTTTCTAAGCAGAGAAATGACATCCATAGAAACAAGCAGGACCTCAACCAAAAAGTCCCACAGTGCACCATTAAAGTATTATCTAGAAAAGGGGGCAGATTACACAAGATTACTCTTCGTTCCGCTCCTTTTCATCCATTCCTCGTATGTTTACCATTATAACACTTTATGTCTTTTTATACTTTATGAATGAAATAAATAAACTAATAAAAAAAATAAATGAACCTTGTCATTTTTTGTTTGGGATTGGCTCTACAAAGTTACCATGATAATCTTTTGGCTTAAAGTGCTTGAAACTGCCACAACCACAACTTTGAGGTTTGAATAGTGGCACCACTTTCTCAAGCTATGAGTAAAAAAAAAAAGAAGTTAATCTTTGTTTACTATGCTAACAAAGAAATAATTTGCATTGTAATATACTGTATTGTTTGATTAACTTCCACTTAAATTCCACTTGTAAACTGTAATGGACCAAAGCATTCCATACAGTATGTTCATGTGTATGTGAGAAGTTCAATAAAGTTTTCTGGATCTGAGTCAGTTGTACCAGTTTTCTTTTTGCACTAGTTTTAGTTTCATATGTGTAGACCTAGTAATTTCAGAGATATTAACCATAAACCAGGGCAACAAATCTGGAATCTGACACTTAAACAGCAAATTTAACCATCAAGATCTGATCCTTCCTCCAGCTCAGTGTTTAAGGGCCCATATTATGCTATTTTCTGATCTATGTTATAATGTTGTTTCCTCATCAAAACCATACCTGGAGTTGTGTTTCATTTCATTCACACACACAAACTCTGCGTACTTTGGCTGAGTTCTTCTCTCATATGGAAAACAAAGTGTCCCACTGTATTTTTAAACCCTATACACCTTCACTAGAATCATTTGGATAATTTCAGCTCTGGAATGTCCAGTCTCTACTGAACTAAAGGTAAAAGGAGTTGTTAACTTGAAAATTACGACTTCATAACATCACAAGATGGAACAGAACATTTTGATCTTTTAGAGATGTAGACAGACTAATAATGCAGGATTACACAAACAAAACCCAACTCCAGGTATGTTTTTGATTGTGTAACAACATTATAACATGACTAAAAGGTCAAGAGAGTCAATTTTGTGTAATATAAGATCTTTAAATTAAACTATAGATTGTAGAATATTGCGTTGTCACATGAACCCAACATTTTAACTCCTAATAAAAAACTCCCACATCCGGATAACAAAGTGACAAAATATGCATCGAATACAAAGGGACAGGCAAGTTTGCTGTGTGACACCCAAGTGGGGCAAGTCCTGACAGGAAAGGGGAAGGAGACAGTGTATTGCCCCTGGGTGTTTGGGAGAGGCAGACTCACAGACCTGGGTAACATGTACCACAATAAAAGCCATAACATTATGCAGGAGCAAAGCCAACAATATTATAATAACATTTTAAAACATCAGATAGTAAATGTTATGAATGTATGTAGAGACATGTACTGCACTAAAACATATGCTTCACAATATAGTATAACTTTAAAGGTGCATTATGTAACTTTTCTGATGAGGGGTCTGCCTGTCATCTGTTTGTCTCCATGGGGATGTTGTTGCCTGCATGGAATGTTCCAGAGCATGACATTAAAAAAGCAGATGACGTCACCAGGACAAGTTTGAAGTCAAATATGTGGAGAGTAGACCTACTCAACAGGTATGTTATTTTATCAGCAATAAAAATACTTGTAATTGAAAAAAAAACATTGCAAGATAGATTTGTTAAATTCCATACGTTAGAACATTACATGGAAAGCAATAACATCGCCATGAATATCCCCTACTAAAAAGTTACATAGTGCACATTTAAAAGTGCCTATATTACAGTAAATTGACTCTCATGAGCTTTAAGTCATGTTAGAATATTGTTACTTCCTCAAACACGCACCTGCAGTTGTGTTTTGTTTCATTCACATGTTTGAGTAGTCCTACATTAATAGTTTGTCTACATCTCCAAAGCTCAAAATGCTCTGTTTCAGCTACCTTTTACTTTACATTCAGTAAAGACAGACAGTTCCAGGGCTGAAATTATCTAAATGATTCTAGTGAAGGTGCATGAGTGTTTTCAGTTTGAGAGAAGAACTCAGCCTAAATATGCAGGATTTATGTGTTAAACATGTGTGAATGAAACAAAACACAACTCCAGGTATATTTTTGACCAGGAAACAACATTATAAATCATAAAAAATGTGTAATATGGGCCCTTTAACACTGAGCTGGAGGACAGATCAGATTTCTATAATGCAATTTGATGTTTAAATATCAGATTGCAGATTTGTTAAGATGATTTATGGTTAAAATCACTATAATTACTGGGCCTAGCCATGAAATATATATTGTATCATACAACTGCTATTATTTTCCTTATAAAAGCAATGGCTGGCTTTAAAAACATAGTGGAGAGGTAGTGAATCATGACTTTTTCCTTGTTGATATTGTTGAAAAATACAGTATTATACATTATTACAATACAGTACAATTTAAATGCAACTGTCTTAGTTGCAGTAGTGAATAAGTGAAGTAGTGAATATCTTTTGCAAATAAAATGATTAAAGTAGGTCATAAATAGTCAGCCATCAAGTACAGATATATAGATGTTCAAAGTGCCACAGGGATAAGAAGGATGGTAACTTGAGTGAAGTGGGAACATATTTTCAGTGAAATATGAGGCATTTAAATGTTCCATGGTTTCAAATGTACAGACATACCATAGACTACAACATATGACAGTGGTTGGCAGTTTTCGTATTTTCATTCACACACTATGTTGTCTACGTCTGCTATTTTAGGTTCAGCAAAGTGCAATTCTACCACAAAAACACATAGCATCATAATTTCCAGGAAGAAATGTTTTCAAACCAAACAAAATGAGTGAACAGCATGAAACTGCAACTGAGAAACATACCACTCAAACAATAAGGAACTGGTGTGAGTGTTGAAATCTACCTTTCAAAATGTTTTTTTATTACTGCATTTTGTTTTTCTTTTTAAATGAATGGCAAATTTCTACAAAATACATAAAAACATATCTTTACATACCTATTTTAAAACACCGACAATGCCTAAAATTATTATTACCTATGTACAGTGTTATAAATGGTAAGGTTTCAGAAAGGAGTTGCAAATTAATCCTTCCTGATTTGAAGAATTCTGTGAGGATTTTTTATAATCTATTCTAAAGATATAATATTTTCAGTTGAACTACATTGCCGTAGCTCGAAACCCATGAACATAATTTGAGAAGAACAAATTTGAGGTTTGGATAATCAGGTTTACATAAAGTCTTATGTTTCTTATGTTATTCAATTTGACAAGTGGGTACATCAATACAGGAGTAGCACAGAAGCTTCAAATATACAGGAAATAACATAAGATCAATGTTTTTGGCTAGACACATTACATTTCTATTCAAACAGTAAACTACACTTTTGAACTACACCTTCACAAAACTTCTCTTTTCAAAATGGCCTTCAACTCTTTCAATGTTTCGCATGTTTTCATACTGTTGATTTTAATGAAAAGCACTTTGGGGACCTTGAGTGTTGTAAAGGGCTCTATAAATAAAGATTGCATGATTGAATACTCAGATCAGCTAACCAATTTAATTTAACTTTTGCTGTGAAGTTTCAAACATCAGTACACGACCCATCC